TCATAGCACTCAGCATTTACTTTTGTGTTTATTTACTTGCTCATTTGCTTTCTCTCTCTTGGTCTTCCTACTCAACTTTCCACTAGAACATTCATTTTATGAAGGTATGAATAGAGCTTTGTTCATCTGAAATCTTAACCATTCCATGCATAATATATTCTCAGTGCCAGGGAAGGTGACTTGCACTCCAAAAAATCCAAGGAGTAAAGTCACCAGACAATTTGTTTCCCACATTTCCACTTCTGAAAATGAAATAGGATGCCATTAGGTGCCAGGATAATAGGTGTAAACTTATTAAAACTTTGTTGAATGGAAAAAGGAGCAACCAAATGCATACATACTTGGATGGCTGGAGGGTTTATTAGATATCAGGATTATGAAATGATTTCTGAAACTGTATTATTATATTTAAAAGTTCGGAAGATTAAGATATCTAGAGATCAGGAAAGGATTCCCAAGAAGTTATCCTTCCCAACCCTTCAAAACTAGCTAGGGGCTCTTGATGACTGGCCTCATATTCACTAGCTAGTGGACACTATCTAAATGCTTCTCAAGTGCTTTGCGGAACTTGATTTTTCCTAGTAATCGACATTCCTCCCTTAGTCCCTCTGTACCTCAGTTCATTTAATGTCCCTGCTTATAAAATCTTTGATCAATGATTGTCTGTTTATCAGTGTAAGATTTGAGGAAGTAGAATTTAAGCTCAGACTATATTTGCCTAGATTTCTCCAACAGCGAGATTCAGATTTCGAAGGTTTTGCTTGTTTGTTTCTATTAGCAAACAGGGTCTTGATGAATCCACAACGTTAACACAACTGCTTAAAAATTAAAGTAACATTTAATAATACTAAGTGTATGATTTGCGATGTGTTGGAATAATACAATCCGTCATTTTTTTTGATGTCTTGTTATTACAGTGGCAGAATTAGGGCTTCCAGGTTAAAAAAAAACACACACACACAATAAACAGATTTTCTATCTATTTTCACTGGATACATTCTTGGGAGGTGAGACCTAAGAACCTACATAATGAGGCAGAGGATGGGAAAACAGCCACTCCAGGGACTGACTGCCTTTGAACTCACAATCCAGTCTGTAAGCTCTAGCCCTGTGTTTTCTCCTATGGTCCAGAACCACCTGGCCAAGGATAAATGTTAAATAAAATTCTTCTAATGTACCAAGTACTATGTTTCATCAGAGGTGAAGAGGTCAGTCCATGTAAAATCCAAGCAGAGCTTTTGGTTCTTTTATAAACATTAAAACCAATTCAGTTCATGCTCAATAAATGTCATAAGGGTCCTTACCAGGGGTGATGGTGAGATGCCCCTTGCAAGGAAAAGTGTTAGGGTGAGAGGATGAACATTGCAACACAATAAGGGTGTAGCTGGAATATAGAGCTTTGGGCAAATAGAGCCAGCAGGGCAGTGGAAGGCAATGGAGACAGAGAAGGAGCAGAGGTGAAATCCTACAGGTCCTTGGGGAGGGGGACATACTCTCCATTAAAGAACTTTATCTTCCAAATTTTTACATACTACCCTTTCCTGATGGGATAGAAGAAACGCATTCTAGCAGGGGCCCTTCAGGACAAGATTGTGGTGACTGGCTATGGGATAACCAGGTGGGGGATCTTTGACAGAGGAACAACCAAGTGCTCTGAGAACAGGCATCTCTAATGTGAGTAACATCTCCCATTTGCCTGTGTCTTCAGTGAATTATTCAATGTGACTCTTATTACTTATTTGTTTGCTGTCTGTTCTCCCTCAACCAAATTGTAAGCTCCGTGAATTTAGGAAAACTGTTTTTTTCTTCCTACTGTTGTATCCCCAAAATATAGAACTAGAAACAGAACGTATGTATTTAATGGATGCATAGCAGATGCATGACTAGTGCGTCACTAGGAAAACACTTGATCATATTTTCCCTTTTAAAATATTATTCAGCCATGATGAGAGTCCATGTATATTGAGTGGGGGTAAAAAGATGATATAGAAAATGGAGAGATGAAGATGACTAAGTCTATGAAAGAATATTTGAAGATCCTAGGGAGTCTTCTTGTAACCCTCTCTACTACTGGTGGGTAGAAAGAAAGAAGTAGAAATTAACATACACTAAACACCCACACTGTGTGAATTATTATGCTAGATATCTTCATAAGCTTTGTATCACTTAGTCCTCAAACCATAAACAAAGCCTCTGTGTTGGATAGTTTTCTATCAATATAACAAATACTTGAGATTATCAACTTAAAAAGAGAAAAGGTGTTGTATCGGCTCATGGTTTTAGTCTATGATTGCTTAGACCATTATTTTGGGCCTATGGTGTTATATTATGGTAGAAGCATGTGGCAGAGAAGAACCATTCCCCTCATGACTCAGAAGTGAAAGAGAAGAAGAGGGCTGGGGTCCCATTATTCCCTCCAAGCGTATATTCCCTAAAGATCTCCCACCAGGTGCCACCTCTTCCACCACCTCTGAATAGTGCCACACTGGGGACTAAGCCTTTAACACATAGGCTTTTGGGGTCACTTACAATCCAAACATTAGCAGCCTCTAATGTGTGCATTAAGTCCAATTTATAGATGAAGACACTGAGACTCAAAAGATTAAATCACTTACTTAAACAGCAGCAATTTGTACCTAGTTTTATGCAATTTACAGTGAATGCCTAAATGAAACCCCATTGTTGCCTCTCCAAACAGTGTAGGAGCTATAGATTGACTATTGAAATCTTGGTCCTAAGATTTGTCACATGATTTCCTAAGGTTCTTGCTCCATTTGTATAGAAAAAGGCATATCATTAGGGCATTGCGATTCCCACATTTTTCATTGAAAATGATGTTCTCTGTAAAAAGTAGTCAGTTTCAAACAATAATAAGTGTTGGTGAGGATGTGGGGGAAAAGGTAAACTCATATATTGCTGGTGGGACTGCAAATTGGTGCAGCCAATATAGAAAGCAGTATGGAGATTCCTTGGAAAACTGGGAATGGAACCACAATTTGACCCAGCTATCCCTCTCCTCAGTCTATACCCAAAGGACTTAAAAACAGCATACTACAGGGACACAGCCACATCAATGTTTATAGCAGCACAATTCACAATAGCTAAATTGTGGAACCAACCTAGATGCCCCTCAGTAGATGAATGGATTAAAAATGTGGTATATATACACAATGGAATATTACTCAGCAATAAAAGAGAATAAAATTATGGCATTTGCAGGTAAATGGATGACATTCGAGAAAATAATGCTAAAAGTTAGCCAATGCCGAATGTTTTCTCTGATATAAGGTTACTGACCCATAATGGGGTAGGGAGGGGGAGCATGGGAGGAACAGACGAACTCTAGATAGGGCAGAGGGGTAGGAGCGGAAGGGAGGGGGCAGGGGTTAGCAATGATGGTGGAATGTGATAGACATCATTATCCAAAGTAAATGTATGAAGACATGAATTGGTGTGAATATATTTTATATACAGAGATATGAAAAATTGTGCTCTGTATGTGTAATAAGATTGTAATGCATTCTACTATCATGTATTTAAAAAGTAAAATCAATTAAATATTTAAAAAAGATTTGTTTATAACTGAAGTCCACAAAACTGCATTTCAAAATACATTATTTTAGTATACTTAAAAAATGTTGTCAGTTTTTTTTTTTTACCTATAATTTCCAAATATAAATATTGGCTATTTTTTTTTTTTCAGCTCTGTTCTCTTTAGAATTGTGTAGCCATGTTCACATACTAAGTCCTGCCTCGTTCCTGACAATCGCAACTAAAACAGAATTATCAACCATCCCAGCATATCCATTTAGGAGGAGCTTGAAAATAAGCTCATACCCTTGCACTGGTGGCCCAGTCTCAAGACTTCTAGGAAAATGCTTCCAAATATCTGTAGTTGGCATAGATCAAGGTCTTTGTATCCTCTTCTCCCATCTGATTCTATAATTTCTACAAATATCAGCTCTTTCCTTTTCTTCCCCTGCTTGCTGCCTAACCACATATCAGGATTTCTCCTTAGGTCTCTACTTTGAATTTCTGACATTTACTTTATGGTAAATTATTAACCCTATTTCAAGACCAGAGTTCTGTTCTAAAGTTGCTCTGAGCTTTCCTATTATGCTCTTGGTGCTCTCTCTTGGCATGGCCGCCTGTCTTGGCTCTTATTTTAGCCTAGTGGCTGGACTGCCATGTCTTTCCATTTGCCTAGTTTCTGCATATTCATCTACTGCTGAATCCCTTGTCATCATGTGATGTTACATATTGAGGTCCTGAGCCTTATAGCAGTAATAGCTCTCTCTTTGCCAGGGACTCACACTCCTTTTCTTCCTTTTCTGTTGTTAAGAAGTCACTGGCCACCTGGAAACCACATTTCCTTCCCTGTCCACTTGCACTGAGATGGGACATGGACTAAACATTGTCTAATACAGTATGTATGGAAGAAAAGCGTGCAGCTTCCAATTTGGTCCATTAGAGCCTCCACAGAGGCAGCAGATGCCACCATCCAGAGAAACTGGTTATGTTAAAGTGGCAGAACCTCTGTCAACCTGTTCTTGATTGATTTTTTGAAGCTCAAGTGACCCCCCCCCCCTGTATGTGGGTGGAAAATCAATCTTCTTTCTATTATATTAGGCCACTGGACTTTGGAGGGTTTACATGAAGCAGTGGTCAGTTTCACTAGTATAATACACATGTCGTCCAAATCCAATGAGGTCAACATATTTTTCAACTGGTACAGTTTAGGATCTTCTGAATGAATGTCATCTCATAGGTCCAGCAATCACTTTGGAATTTGTCACTGTTATGAGGTCAGTTCTCAAACCTTTGTTTAGTCCCACTAGTCCAATATGAGACCAGGTTCTGTCTTGCTTCCCCTCTAAATGAGTCTCATTGCCTTCATCTGGCCAACATGCTGTATGGCACTTATCAAGCTTTCACATACTGAAAAATATTTTTTTTAAATCAAATTATTTAGTAAGAACAAACACAGGGAACCAAAATACCTCCTTGGCCACAGGTTTGCGAACACTCTGTCCAAGCCGTCCACACTGAGAGCTGACAGTTGACCACACATTCCACCAAGCAGGGAATACTCATTCTCTGGGGCTTCTCTAAATTAATCTGTAAATGAAAATGAAATACAACTTCACAGGAGAAATCATATAGCTCAGATAAAATCGCTGTCCTTTTATAGGAAAGACTATTCTTTATTCTGTGATAAATAACTTTTCTATACTTTAGTAGGGGAAAATATCCTTTCTCATATAAATTGGAGGCATTCACAGAAGATGGTTGTCTTAACTTCATGAACAAAATTTTGTCAGTCCAAATTTCTTTTTATAAAACCCTAAACTCTAGAATGGACCTGCTGTTAGGGTGCTGGGAAATCAGAAGGTCACAAGACACAGGAGTCTTCCTGTTGCTTAGTCAGCAAGGAACCAGGAGGACATCTCAATGCTAAATCCAGGCACCCTGGAATGGTCCAAAAGTACATAAAGAGCTTAAAACTAATAGCTGCCAATACTAAAAAATATACATAAAATAGGAATAAATAACCCATCTGGACTCCACAGGCTAATAAACCCATCATAGTGCTAACTTTGGGACAAATTGGTGGTACCATTTATTTTCTTCTTGTCCTCTGTGAAATCAGCATACAATCAAAATATACATGGTTTCTAGTGACCAATGTAGAAGGGGTCTTAGTGAAAGAATAAATCACTTAAGAAACATGGAAAGAATAATGGAATAACGTGCTGTTCAATCATACATCGTGTGCTTAATTAGAAAAACTTTGACATTTGACACAGGTTAAGTATTAGTAATATATCCACACCAAGCTAAAATCATTATAATAATTTTATAAAGTTGATTATTATAGCATGATGATGATTTGTCAAGGGTGTACAATAAAAATTACCACAAAGGGATCCATGATTCATTTGTAAACTATAGATAAGTCCAGTTAGGGTAATGATTTGGGACCTTTTTAAACTGATATTCTTTAAATATTTGTTGGATATTTGCTATTTGGAAGATAAAAAATGATTTTCTATTAATGAATAGTTTATCTTTCTTAGTTTCCAAAGATTTATTATATATACTAAATTTGTATTTGAAATTAATGTAGATGGGTGATTTCTTTCTGAGGCAAACAGCTTAAGAGGCAAATTAAATAAAACAAAATGTTAAATCACTGACACTTGACAGGTAGCACTCTACATTGTACTAAACAGTCCATAATTTCAGTGGGTGAGGCATCCAATTTCAGGTGGTCTGGTCCAGGATGGTGTGCTGGTCAATGACCGTGCTGTTGGCATAGAGAATGTGATGTGATAGCGTTTAGGGTTAAGTCAGGATAGTCAAGGAACTTGGTTGTGTTTTATTTTAATTTCCATGAATTTACTTCACCTGTTAGGAGAAACAGGACCAATTGTTGCCAGTTTGTTACAGAAGTTTCTGTGGCAATTTTAGTTCACTGGCCCCCTGTTTTCAATTTATTCTGAAAATTGCTCCAGTGATTCTTATAATGTGATAACATCTTTATTTGTATTAAACTGACCCTATTGTACTTTTTATTTATATATTGGGAAGGAAATGCCAATTTCTTTGGCACTGGCCTGAATACAGCTATCTTCCAAATTCCATATAGTTTGTCAAAGGAAAAAAGGAGCAATAAAATTTAAAAATTCAGAACTCTCTAACTTGAAACTTGACAGGAAGGCATTTTATGTAGATTGAAAAGAAAAGTACAATTATGCCATTTATCCAACAATCATTTGCTAATTAAAGTAGCAAAGTGTTCTAACAGCAAGTGTCAATGTCCATTTTACATTCAGGGGACAGTATGTATCACATATACAAATTAACTGCCTTCCCATCCCACTCTTATAAAAATGATAAAGTCACCAATGTGAACAGCTTGTTGGCAAGCAAGTAGAGTTAAGCTAGGTGTTCTTAGAGGTTACACACATACACACACACACACACACACACACACACCACTTCCCCACTACCAAAATGACCATTCTGCATAATTTTTAACAAGTCCTAATTAGTGAGGTCTAATTGTACTTTCTCGTACCTTTCACTGTAACTGAATCTAAGCTAAGAACAGATCAGAGTCTGTCTTCTATAGCAAACATCATAAGGGATGTAGACCAATATTAAGAAAAAGAAAGCACCAGGTGTGTGATCCCAGTATAAATAAGTTACCTGTTCACACTGGTCCATGCTGACGGGCTTGCCGTCACTGCGCACACAGCTCAGCAGGCGGGTCCTGACACCTTGACCGCAGGAAGCATTTTCACTCAGCTGGCATGTGCTCCACTCTATAGGCATAGGATCACCCACACTGAGTTTCAAAAGTATGGCCATGTGAGAACAATGCAACCAATCTTTCATTATCTGCACTGGTGGAGAAGGCTAAGGGCACACATAATCCTAAAACCACTCTCAGGTGACTTTGGAAAGCATCGTGCAATTATTTTATAGTTAAACAAATGAACATAGACACAAAAAGACTAAATAAATGAACACGGGTTACTTTCCTAAGTTTGCCTTCCAGAGGCAGAGAGACAAATGGTTTGTTAGATATCATCTCACACTGGTTGTAGTGGAAGAGAAAAACACTAACCCGGATGGTGAAAGAGAATGAGCTTGGGACCAACTACAGTGGGATAATCCAGAGGCAAAATAACCCAGAAATGATGACAGTTTCCACAGCCTGAATGTTTATGTCAGCCCCACGGAAACCCAAACCCCACGGTGACAGAAGCAGAAAGCAGAACCTTTGGAAGGTGATTTGGTAATGAGGATTGAAAGCTCACGAATGGGGTTAATTTCTTTGTAAAAGAGGTCCTAGGGAGCTTGTGTGTGCCTTCTACTGTGTGAGAGAGCCAGAAGGCACCATTTATGAGTAAGGGCTCTCAACATCAAGACATCAAATCTTTAAGACCATCATCTTGGAATTCCCAGTCCCCAGAACTATGAAAAATAAATTTCTATTGTTTATAAGCTATTCAGTCTATGGCACTTTGTTAGAGCAGCCAGAATGGACAAAGACATCAGTCTTTGATGTCAACTTGAAAATGCTTCCAAAGAACAAATTTAATCACCAACTATTTTGTACATTTGATACAGTGTACACAAGAGAGATGTCCCAGAAAGAAAAAAAAAAAGGAAAGATAAACAGAAACTCTTTAAGTTTTTCAAATTATTCTACCATTAGAGAAGGTTTTACAAATTTGAATAGTCATATTTCAAACTAGACAATAAGAAATAAAAAATAAATTACTCTGTAATTATTTAGAAAAGAAGATCCTTGACCACACCAATAGAATCTCTTGAAGGAGATGGTCCATATCTGGTAAATGACTAAGAGTTTAATAGGATTAGCAAACTCAGATATAGTAAAGACAGTTATAAAAATATATGCTTCTCCCATAAAGCAAATTTTGCTGTATTTCTGAAAAACTACTATAAAAACCAAGGATCTAAAAAAAAAAAAAAAGAAAAGAAAAAGCCACCACGTCATATTTCACCCATAAAAACAACCAGACAGCTTCACAGCATTTACTGTGGGGTTTCCTATATCAGGAATCTCAGCTGAGTCAATGTGGCCACTGCAGGGAATATTTTTTCAGGAAAGGAGATTACTATGCCTCTGCAGGCATATGGCAGTGTGGTCCTCAGTAATGAATTTGATGCTGAGACTTAACATGGTTCCACATTTTGTGGTGTTTTTGTACATTTGCTGCTGCAGAGAATGGTAGGTAGCAGATCAATGTAGCTATAGTAGTGCTTTGGTTTTTAGACACTGAGCACTGTGGTACCCAGGAAAACCCCAAGCAGTAGCTGAATAACTAGGTTGAGATTCTCACTACTTTCCAAACATCCCTGACCACTTAGGGCTTGTTCATCTTTTTTGAGACATATGGAGAAAGTATATTAATCTTGAATTTCTGAAATAATAAAAGCCAAACTCTCTGATAGTATGATTATACCCTTCTCTCAATGGAAATAAGTCCTTTGCTATTTATTTTTGTTGTTTCAGTATATAATGGCTTACTTCAACCTTATTTTCAAATGCTGACAAGTTTTTCTAAGCATTTTTTTTTTACTTTGAAGATTCCAGGTGGCCTTTCTGGATCTACATGCGAGAAACAGGCATTTCATTTTATGAAGAAACATAGGTAATAACATGCATCATGTTATTGGGCCTTTCATGCGTCACGGTCACATATTCTACTCTTTCTCCTTGGCACCAAGAAGGAAAACACATTCTTCCACAGCCAATGTTCAGAGAAAAGAGCAAGATCATGGATTTCAACTATACCTGTTAGATTGTACTGGAACTGGAAGCAATTTTCATTAAGGAGGCAGGGTCGCACCTGAGAGTCTTCAGCACAAGTCCTTGAGCTCAGTGAGGGCCTCAGAAGATGGCGAGTTCTTCTCTGCATTGTGTGTGGATCACATGACTATGAAAATCAAACAGCATCAATTAGGCCCAAGGGTAGTTCATAAATGATACATGATTGTATGTAAACAAGTAGGCACATACATAACAACTACAGAGAAAAGACGGTTGAGAGTGACAAATACAGTATTTGGAGACAATATCATTCTGATACACTGTAAATTCTATTTTGTTTTTCATGAGACAACTCTCTCTTTTTTTCTTTTTCTTTTCTTTTTTTGGTGTTGTCTTGAATGCTACATTTCTCTCTACCATGTATAATTAAAAACATGGAGACTATTTTCATCATTACAAATTCACTCTGTACTCTGAAATAGTCTGCCACAAAATAAGAAATCAATACATTTTTAATGTTTAAATGAATGAAAAAAGGAAGACACTGCCTCTGTGACCTTAGATAGTCTAGTCCAATAGAAATCAGTACACAGAGAACTTTAATGAGAAAATCATTTTTAATATCCCAGAACAAGTATAGAGAAATAATTATGAATCAATACAGACAATATAACCAAACTTTTTTTGTGTGTGTGGGGGGAGGCCCTCTTGATTCACAGCATGAGCCTTTGCATACTTTTGCCCTTTCCACAAAATGAATGCATGCCTGTGAGCTCCAAAGATGCGAACATCTCACAATACACGTGGGTCCACATGTTCTCCTATAACCACAGCTCACATATTGCTCTTGAGCCACATCATATCCAACTGGTCTACCCACAGTAGCCCCTTTAAGCTTCTTCTACTAGAATAATCTTTCCATGTTCTTCCAAACCCTACCCTCCACCTTTGTCAGAACACTGCTCCAGGCTTACTTATTTCATAGTCTTCTCTTTATTATTGTCAAATTCTTCTTTTCCTCTTTGTGCAAACTTCTGTTCATGTTCAGGGAGTTTTCTATAGATTTGCTTCTAAACACATATACATTCACAAACATATATGCCAAACCTATCCTTATATTTCATTCTTCATTTCTTTATTACCCTGATCCTTCATTTCTTTACAAATTATTTAGGGAATAATGAATGATGGCTTCTACTTTTCTTGCCCCTCACTAAAATCTCAATATAAATAATGCATAGCGGTTTTTCAGTAAATATCATTAACTATATTCCCAACACATTTCCAGAAAACAAAAATTTAAAGATACCTACAGTCAGGAGATATCAAAGTCATTAAATTTTGATTACCAAAGCACCATTTCGATTTTTAGTATATAGTAGTTTTTATTTTTTTTTTTCCTTTTACCTTTTCAGATACTATAGTAAGAACACAACCCATACACTGATCATGGCTATGAGTCAAAGTGATTTACATTGTTGAATTACAATGAAATATGGAAAAAATAAGGCCACAAATTTTTATTCTAATCATAAAAGTTTGGACCATTGAAACACATTTAGTATCCAGCTGACTTCAAACTTGAATAATCTGTTATTACTTGTAATTTTACATTTAATCATATCAAATTTTTTCTAGATTATCAAAAAGAGCAAAACAATTATTCTTAATTATCTGCACAGGAATCCTATATTATGTGTTTACCAATAGTTTATTTCTATTTTATTAACTAATTCGAATGTTTGCTATCATGAGGAGAAATAATAACTTAAATCATTATCCAATAGAAGAAAATGAAGGTATCTCTGTAGATAACTTCTGATCAGTGCTCTGCAGCATTTCTCTTAGAAAATAATTAATTAATGTTTAGAACAAGTATACATATGTAAGGATTTATGTACCTGGTTAGTTAAGCTACCAAATAAAAGAGAAAATAAAATACAACCCTTATCCAAAAGACTTGAGACCTGAAATGTTTCAGAATTCAGTGTTTTTCATATTTTCTAATATTTGCAGGCAGAAGCTTCCTGATCTGAAAATCCAAAGTCTGAAATGCTCTGAAATTGGAATTTTAGGCTATGTAATTTTGAACAATGCACTTATGTACTATAACCCACATAACTACTAAACCTATGTGGGAGCTGGGTGTGGTGGTACACACTTGTAATCCCAGCAGCTCAGGAGGCTGAGGCAGGTAGATCACAGGTTCAAGGTCAGCCTCAGCAATTTAGCAAGGCCCTAAGCAACTTAGTGAGACTCTGTCTTGAAATTCAAAGTGAAAAGGACTGGGGATGGGGCTCAGTGGTTTAGTTCCCCTGGGTTCAATCCCTAGTACCAAAAAGAAAAGCAAACAACAACAACAAAAAAAAAACCTACGCGAGAAAAGGGGGTGATGATAGGTGTAATTTGATAACATTTAAGAATTTCCTTCCTCAGATCTCATTCTGTCTCCAAGTTTGCTAAACATGGCTTTAAAATATCTTCTTGGGCTTAACCCAACCTAACCTAACATTCATATCATGTAATCTTTGATAATTATTAGAAATCAATTTTATAGGAATTATTAAAAACCAATACTGAAGCTAATCTTTATCCATAGAAGCAATAGAAGGAAGTGTGAGGTCCCTGGAATCCATAAATATGAGACAATCTCACCTTAGGAGAAGTTTCATACTCCATTTTGTAAATATTGTTCTGGTACTGGTTACAAGTGGCTGATTACTGTTTCTCCTCATTTCTTTCTATTAGCTATGCATAGGAAGTTCACAAAATACTAAATTGTCCACAAGTGTAGGGACAAGGACAAAGGAAGTTATATCTTAATGGCTTCTTCATGGGATCAAAACTCCTCAAACCCACACCTATATCTCTTTTTCTAGTGTGTGTATATATGTGTGTGTGTGTGTGTGTGTGTGTGCGCGCGCGCACGCACGTAGATACTGTCAACTTCCTAAGTACAGAAGTGAGAAAACAATGTAGGAACTAACCCAAAGCCAACTTTGAACTAGTTTCATTATAAAGATAAAGGATATGCAGTTAAAATTCATTTGGTAGAATAGAAGGTGACCAAGAAAAAAATGAGTTTGTTTCCAGTACATAAACCCTTTATGAAACTAGATTTTCTAACTTATTACCTTTGTAAACAGGGTTTATCTTAAAGTTCATTTCTTCCCGATGACATTCATACCTTTGTTCTCTCTAGCCGCAAGGCTACTTTCTTACCATCCCAAATACTGAATCCATCCATCAAAATAAAGTTAGATGTCCCATCTGTGGACCTCCCCTGGCTTCCTCAGATCCATAACAGATAGAATCACTTCATCTAGTAAGCCTTTCTGCTCTAATTCTAGTACATACTGATGTGTGTTCATCACACAAAAACCCTTCCTGTGGGTCCTTCAGAGATTCCATGTCTTAATTTTCTTTTATAAAGAAGTCTTGTATCATGTCTGGCACAGAGAATGCAAATAATAAATACTTTGATGTAGCATAATTTAGTTAATCCCAGGAAATTTGACATTTGTGTAAACTGCCATTAGAAGACACATATTAAACACTAGATTATGATCATATTGCCTGAATGTAAAGGTTTCCAAAAGTCTGTGTATCGGATAAAAAGAGTAGACTGTTTCCTCAAACTTCCATACATTTCACATAATCTAGGGGGTATTTCTCAGAATAATAATCAAATTTTAAGACCTATCAATGAATAAGTTTTTATTTCCCACTTAAAAAGATAATAATTTAGATAAAACATTTTAAGTAAATCCAAACAAGGAGGTATAATTTGATATCTTTCTATCACTGAACTATTAATAATCGCAGTTTAATAGAACCTGTGATAAATCCTGGCACTTGGGAATTTAAGTTACTCTGCAGATTTCTCATCTGGAGATGAGCATGACTCCAAGGCCTGGCCTTGCCAGATCCCATCAGATACTGAAAGCCAACACTTTTCATTTTGTAATGGGGTTCATCTGATAATTCTGAGAAAGTTTCCCCCTCATTTCGCCAGTTAGCCCTACTGTCAAACAGTTTTGCTGTTTCTAAAAGCTTTCATAAGGCAAAAATGGATACATACTCTATGAACTTTAGCTTTGGTTTTTTCATTTTGTTTTTTAATATGGAAAATGAGGTAGAAAGTTCACAAGGAAATAAAGTTTTGAAAGATTTAAAAAAAATGAATTAAATCCTGATTCTAAAAAGTCATAGGAGTAAGAAAAATCTGTTTAAAAAAATGTCAGAGACTCTGGGAAGATGGTTACAGATGTGAAAACATTCTTTGCACATCACAGTGCAATAGCAGAATGAAGTAAAAAATAAAAGAAGAAATAGACACTATGCTCAGTAGAATTAAGTGAGAAGTCATCCCCACAAACCCTCAAAGGAAGGTGGAGACCAATGAGCAGAGCTACTGGACCTGTTGATACCAGCATCTGACGGGAGAAAACAAAAGGGGCAACTGATAGATGAATGACCACCAGAACGTGAGAGTTGGAGGATTCTGAACAAAAGCAGAGGAGAGAGAGGGTCCCTGAAGAGCTCTTGACAGTCCATATAGCTCAGATCCAATACAACTCTTCACATTAACAAGCCAAAACTCCCTTTTTGGATAATCCACGCCCCTCCCCTACCCCTCCACTAAAGTGAAATAGGGCAAGAATTTCCAAACTGAGCAAAAGCGAGATATTAGTAATGAAGCAAAGAATAGATCAGTAAGAAGGTGGGGAAGGAAAAGGAACCAGCAAATCTCAGAAAGCAAGCTGCTTTGTTTATGAACAGCCCCTTCTAAAAGTTCACAAAAAAACTGATTTCCCAGAGTGAGAAGTGAAGAAAGAGAACAAATTCAAATGTCACAGAAGGGTATTATAAGGAAAAAAAAAGAGAATAAAGGGCAGGAAGAAAGTACACCAGAAAGACAAGCATGCAAAACAAGATGAAAACTATCATTCCAAAAAGGAACTAAAACCCTTAGAATGTGACACAAAATATAAAAATATGAACACAAATAAGAATTAGAAAAACTCAGATGAAAGACCTCAGTAAAACATTAGAATGATAAATCATTTTCAGAAATGAGAACTATAATAAAAAAGTCTTTAGATAAACAAAGTGTAAAATGAAAAAAAATTGAAGTAAGAAATATGAAAAAAGAGTCTACAAGAA